CAGCGAGGACACTGGGAGGACACTCGGAGGGGGACAAAAGGTCTTGTGACATGGAACACTCGGGTTATTATGCATCAGGATGGTGGAGACATGATATAAAAGGAGGAAGCGATCAGAACATTTCCACCACAGCGGACCTGCTCTGAGCTTCTACAGCCCCGGGGTCACCAGCAGTTTCCTCACAATGAAGGCTCTGCTCTTCGCTCTCTTGTTCGGTGTGGCCTGTGCTGAGATTCAGCCATCACAGGTACCAGGCATGCGCTTAGCAGGCGTGTGTGTGTGTGTGTGTGTGTGTGTGTGTGTGTGTGTGTGTGTGTGCATGAGAGACACAGAGAGATTGAGTTGAATAGCCTGTGGATGTCTGTGTGCTCATGACCAGGAAAATGCCTTTCCCTCTTTCAACTCCCTGTTGGTGGTAGATGGAGGTGGCCTCTTTAGTGCAAGATCCCAGGCCATGTTGGGTTGTGACTTTGCCTGGGGAACCTGTCATACCTGCCTTGAATCCTGGCTCACTCTCCAGAAGTCATGATGGTGCTCCTGGGTGTCTGGGTCATGGAGGCTCCAGGTTGGATGTCCCAGGAGAGAGGCAAGGCCTGGCCTCCTGTTCTTTACCAAATCCAGATTGGCCTTGTGCTGGGCTTTGGGAGGTGGAGCAGAGGGGAGGAGGATCTGGGGATGGGAGGGGAAGGAGGAGAAAGGCACTGGCCTTGGGCAATGGAACGTTTGTCCTCCAGGTCACTGGCACGTGGCGCACGTTGGCCATCGTATCAGACAGATTGCAGAAGATCCAGGAAGACGGCCCCTTTCAAATCCTTGTCCGCTACATCGAGGCTCCTGAAGATGGACAATCCATGACCGTCCAGTTTTATAACAAGTGAGGAAAGCTTCCCTCTCCCACCCCCTCCTCCCCACCCTCAGAAGAGGGAGCTGAGCTCTGCCCTCACATCCGGGTCCTAGGATCTTTCACACAGCCATGTACATTTTTAGAAAATGCCGTGGTGACTGGTGTCCAGCCAGGAATGGATAGTGTGTGCTCTGTGTCACAATCAGCACCTGAACCCTGGTGGATTCAGGTCTTACATGAGCAGCTCAGAAACAGAATGGACCCACACCCTGGGCTTTAGACTGAGGGGGAAACTTTGTGCCTATGGCCTTATAGAGGGCAGTGTCTGGTTTAATCTGGCACACAGTCCACATGCGTGGCAAATGTGTTCCCTGATTGTCGATCGACACATGGCTTCCTGAAAAGGTGCTCTACACCCATACCCTTACCTTGACGTGTACATGAGCATATTCAGCCATCAGCCAGCCCTGGTGGCTCATGTCTGTAATCCCAGCTGCTCAGGAGGATGAGATTGGAAGGATCGCAGTTCAAACCACACCAGGCCAGGACATCCATGAGAAATTTAACCAGCAAACAAAGTGGCAAGGGTAGCTGTGGTTCAATTGGTAGAGTGTCAGCCTTGAGCAAAACAGAAGCCCTAAGACTGAGCACTCTTGTCCTGAGTTCAAGATCCCGGATGTGCATATTATTATTTAAAATGAATATTATTATATAGTTAACAAGAATTTTCCTATATATGACAGAATTATATACTAATTATCAAATACTGTCTATAAGATATCATGTAATAAGTATCTAATAAGAGTATTTAATAATTACAATAATAAATTTGAGGTGGTGAGTTATTCAAAGAATCTCCCAGGCTGGTATCCTCTTCTGCTCAACCATTCTGGAACACGTTCCTGGGATGTATGGATTTTTGTGCTGATATTTTTCAGGGAAACTGGAGAGTGCAAGAAATACACTGTTGTGGGCACGCAGCAGGACGATGGATCATACAGCGCACTGTGTGAGTACAATGCGGTGTAGACAGAAGAGGGGACTCGAAGCATGGCCATGCACAGGATCCAGGGTGTGTGTGTGGGGGTTCCGATCGTCCATCTATGCCTCTGAAGTCTCCAAACCTCTAAGAGTAGAGTCGGAGATCATCTGGGAGAAAGAGCTGAACTTTCCAGGTGATGGCTTCAACCTAGAAAATTCAGGGATTATACAAGTTTGCCTTAAGGTCTTCAGGGTATTTGATTATTCCTTTCCAAATGATCTCAAAGGGAATTCCCGCTAGATGTCACCATTTATGAAGGCGGTGGACAAGCACATTAGGACTTGCTCAGTGTCCTCGCTTTGGTAGTTGGACAAAACTCCTGACCCTTTGGCTTTATCTTCCTTTTTTTATTTTTCGTCACAAGCAATATGTATTTTATTAAAGAATTCATTTGAACACTGTACCCACAGAGGATACAGATGTGAAGGCAGCAGATCGCTAGCCACCATTCCTGGCAATAAGCTTTCAGAACATGAATTATTGTCATAGTTTTTGACTCTCTTGAGTAAAAACTCTCTTGTGCACACAAAATGCCATTTGAAAAGGCC